ACCCATAATAATAAGGAATATACCATAGTTCCCATAGTTTAGGGTCCTTAGGGTATTGCAGGATTTATATCATCAACAGTATGAAACAACAGATCGAAGCCTCGGCGCCCTGCGCGTTTCCTCGCCTGTAACTTGCAATCCGGGAAGTCGAGGAGCCATAATGATGATAGCACATATTCATAACATAAGCTGTATGAATAATCGTCATCAGAGTAATGACCGTGATAGCCCGAGCAAAATTAACAATAAAAAGAGTCATTAGAATCGTAATCATAATACCCCACACCCTGAACTCTGGTTTGGTGTTTGGTCCAGGCAGACCTATGAAGCGACGGAGGACACCAGCGCTTCACCAGGGTATGCCGGCCTGCTGATGAGCATGGGCAGCCACTGGACAGATTTAGGGCTTAGGGTTTAGGGAGTTCCTTTTGGCTAGTGGTCTTCAGCAGGCAAGTGTGTAACCATTGTTCTGCGGTGTAGGTAACCAGCAAAGCATGCAGATATTGTGTTTTCACCTGTTGTCTCGTGCGGAGCCTGTACAACTGAAGGCGTATGCAGTCTTACTGGTAGTAGTAATAAAATCCTAGACCGTCACCTGACAGAGCACTGATACAAGTCTGTTTCTCTTCGGGTGCGGCAGTGCGAGTGAGCGTGGTATCAGGAGCTGGGAAAGTTGAAAGGCGGCAGAAGCAGCAGCAGCAGCAGCAGAAATGTAGTATTAATTATTCGTTCAGAGGTACTGCTTCCGCTACTCAGACTCCTGCTGCTGCTGCTGCTGCTCCTACTCAAACTCCTACTTCAACTGGACCCCTAATAGTACTAGTACTCCTACTACTACTACTACTACTACTACTACTACTACTACTACTACTACTACTACTACTACTACTACTACTACTACTATAGACGTCGTAGGACCGCAAGTGGCAGGGCAAGGAACGGTGGCGGTGATGTTAGTGGTAGCTGTCCGTGCAGCAGCAGCAGCAGCAGTAGCAGTAGTAGTAGTAGTAGTAGTAGTAATAGTAGTAGTAGTAGTAATAGTAGTAGTAGTAGTAGTAGTAGTAGTAGTAGTAGTAGTAGTAGTAGTGGTAGTGGTAGTGGATAGAAATAGGAGGAGGATTTTCAAGTAACATTTTGTAATATCGTGAACACGACCATTGCGCAACAACAACACGGACAACGACAACGACAAGAAGGTAGATGCAACAGCTCGCCTTCCGAGGTTTACATCGACGCAGGAAGTGCTTCGTCGAAGCCATGGAGACCCCAAGCGGCAAGAAGCCACGGTCTTTTGGGCGTCCTCGGTTTCGGGCATCGATGTTGCGACACGGCGCGTCGTTTTGTGGTGCTCAGATCTTTGGAGGGGTTAGTGCTTTCGGTTTTGAGGCCTTAGGGGCTACTGTAGCTGTTAACAGCAGAAGACGACACGCAAAGGCTGTTCAACTTGGCGCAGACGGCTCTGGAGTGTGCAGAGGCATGGTGTTGCCAAGACTGCAGAATCCGATGGCACATGAGGGCATAGGGCTGGATCGCGGAAATCCCGGAGTCGGAGTTTTGCTTGCAATCCGAAATGCAACGATTACGACGTTTTCATGCCATGGTGTATTCGGATTTAAGAGCATCACAAGACTCTTATGGCGGTCCACCAACTTCCGCGAAAGTCCCGCCACGACAGCTCAACGCAGACAGTGAACGAAAGGAGTCTTCTGGTGCATAGCTCCGACGTGAACATGAGTCGTGCTCTTATCAACTAGTCTTGGAACCTTGATAAGTTTGTGCACAACACAGTCCACGAGATCTCCTCCAGCGAGACCCATAGCTCCGAACTCAATCCGTTCCGCTCCGCTGGCCGCTGCAGTTGCAGAAATTCAAACCTGCCTGTACCTGCTGATCTGCCACGTTTCATGGAACTGTGCTCCGGCAGCTGAAACCGCGTACTGTGGCATGTGTACACATCTGCATAGAGAGGGAGAGAGAGAGAGAGAGAGAGAGAGAGAGAGAGAGAGGGGGAGAGAGAGAGAGAGATTTATTTCGCGAGAGAGAGAGAGAGAGAAGGAGACAGAAAACCGATCCTCTGTCCACGAACATGAAGCATGTTCCAATGTATGTTGACACAGAAGAACGGCCCTAGCCCAGCGTCGCACAAGAAGGCAACCAGCAACATGGACTACCTCGGCCTTCTGGCGACCATGGCCACATGCTATTCCGAGCAGGCGCTAAACCCCCAAGCATGGGCAGCCTGCTTTTTGCCTTTTTGGATTACCAGTGGCTGAATCATGAAGATTTCCAAACCTTAAACTCTAAACCCTAAGCCCAGACCCTAAGCCCTAAACCCAAACCCTAAGCCCTCACCCCCAAGCTCTAAACCCTAAGCCCTAACCCCCAAGCCCTAAACATCAAGCTTAAGTCCATCTCCTATCACTCTCCTTTCAGGGTGACAGCGAGTCTGCCTTGGACAAGTACTCCGAAGCAGCTGCCGCCTTCCAGGCACCTGGACCCTTGGGCAGGGGAGGCATACCATGTAGTATATACTTGGGCCTTAAAGTACCCATATAGGGACCCCTTTAAAGGCTAAAGTATATACTATATGGGTAATGGGGTTAGGGTTTTAGGGTTCAGGGTTTGCGGCTCAGAGTCTAGGGTCTCTTGTTGAGATGTCATGTTAAATAGAGGGACCAGTATGTTCAGAATAGGGTTTATCGTGGGCTTTAGGCGCGGATATGGCAACGAAGCCTAATGAAGGCATGGGTAGTATTGGTAATTGATCTGCTGTCCTTACCATTTTAGGGGTAACAGGCTTGGGTGTTTCGTGCGTCTCTCCTGACCGGGAGTGTGAGGCAGCAGAGCGCATGGACACTGAAGAGTACGCGCGGCTCCTGCAAGGCTGCTGCAGGGAGCATGGAGTTTACGGATTGAGAGGCTGTCCCTTTTTTGGAGGGTTGAGCTGTGTTTCAGAGTATTGATTGGTTTCTGATTGTTGGGGCACACGGCCCTGCAGCAACTTATCGGGCTGGGAGCTGTTGAAGCTACGGAGAGTAGAAAAGGATTTGACATAGCGAGCGCCGCCTGGGCTTTTAAATGCTCAGCCTGAAACTGCTGATCATGGACGGTGCTCGAGTGCTTCGTTCCTGTATCTTTCCCTGCATGTCGACCCTGCGCACGTCTGGACTGGCAATTATTTATTAGGATGCCTTAGGGACCCTGTTCTGACTATTAAAACATTAAAGTCATTAAAGCCCTTGTGCGAGGTCAGGCTTTGATGGCAATAGGGTGCAAGCGAACTGCTAAGTTTGTATGCTTTAGTGACCGACGACGCACAGTACCTGCCGTTGCAAGCCTTCTCCAAAGTCAACACGACTCTTTGTTGTGGTAGCATCAACAGTAAGTATTCACAGTAATGCTCGCCTCAGCAGCAAGCCGAGCGACTGTCGAGGCATGGCCACGCTCTACTCCCGGATAGACCTTCAAGACGAGGCCGGATGGAGGAAGAAGGGATCCCTGTAAGGGTTCTTTGAGGGTTTGGTTCTTGTTCAGAGGTCAGCTACGGGAAGACCCCCAAACTCGTGCTAGTAGTCAGGACATATGGCTGGTAGGGGAGTCGTAGCAGCAGGAAGAAGCAAGAACTGACATGCACAAAGTTGGCAGGTTTTGTGCCGGCTTTGTAGATGGGCGATCAGGCTGCTGTTTTGGTCGGGATGGGGCGTGGTGTACAGAAGCCGAAGCCCACTGCTTAAGCTAGATCTCAGAATGGAGAGCCCTGTGAGGCCATGGAGAAGATGGTACAGGCGAAGGGTGTTTTCGAGGCCGGATTGCATGGCATCGAATCACAGAGTGGACTAGCCATGACAGCTACATTATGCGTGCCAACGGCTTAGCCGAATGCCGTCGCTGCTGATGTGAAGACACTGCCGATTGGGCAACCTGCCGAATCACAAACCCCGTCCAGTCTGCGCACTGCCTACACCTACCAACAGTCCAATCACTCACAAAAGTGCTCTCGGAGCTCAGTCTTCCTGAATCTTGCTCCTTCGCCCAAGCACTCGTCCAGACCTGTGCTTTGACCCTCGTCAGCCCCAGACCCGTAAGTAGGAAATCTATGGCGCAAACTGTGAAGTCTCAATGCAATACCAACAGACGGTGCGAGACTCTGAGACACTTCGTGGGGCTCTGGCCGTATCAAGAACCTTCACAAACAAGTCCCACCTACCCAAGCACAGTTTCTACCATTTTCCCAGTCGATTGGTGCTTCCACCACGACTTCCTACGCCGTTCTTCTGCGCAATATGGCCTCCTGGAGACCTGGCTTCCTTGATTCAGAAGATACCGGAGAGCTACTGGAAAGGGTGGACTCTGAGGGCTGCCGCGATAGCTTCTTTGCTATGTGGGAGGTCAAAAAGCAATCATAATCGTCTCGTGGATACTGTGCATGGGACAGGCGACCGTCAAAGGGATACATAGCCTCCCAAAACGTTTTCGTTCTCCTTGCCTCTGGCCCTGGACTGAAAAGCAAAAGCTTGACTAACGCCTTGAAAACCACGCGCGCAAGTACCGTCGACCGTAAAGCAGAAGCTCCAAAAGCCGAGGTATGCCTGCCATGACGAGGGCGAGAGAGCCATCGAGTACTATGACCTGGCCCGCCGGGCCTGCGAGGCCCGAGAAGGTGTTAGGCTGCATTTTTTCAAGTGAGTGAGGTAGTGAAAAATGATGCTGATTCGAAGGCTTCGATGTGCTTGTTTTTTGGAGGCTGTGTTGCAGTGCATCTCCTTTGCAGAGCGAGCTGTATCGAGCTGGTGACTAACGGCACACACACACACACACACACTTGACAAAACGGATAGCCAAAAGTGCAGGCCAGGGTTTTGACTACTGTATGAGTGGTAGTCTTGTAGTTGCTTTGTGTGCTTCACAGACGCGAAGTCTCTAGCTTCATTGTCTCAGAAATGTGGCAACCTGCGAGGCCGCTGGCACTCTCCATTCACCCCTCTACGCGAGCATCCTGA